TTATAAATTCTAGAAAAAAGTTGAAGAATGTCTGAAATTAAATATTGTTTAACAATATTGCCTTGAGGCTATTTACAAAATATATTTTAGTGAAACGTTAGCAAAATTTCTATAGATAATGATAAAACTTTAAGATAAACTTTTATAAGCTGACAATTAAAATAAATCTAGTAAAGATAATTAAAAAATTAATATTATTTTTATTATAAACAATATTTTATTCAGTAAATTAATACATTAAAGGTAGAATAAAGGTAAAATACAGTACATATAAAAGGTAGAATATTTATTAATTTTTATTAAAAAATTCGCATTGCTTAGAGTAGGAAATGNTAATTTTTTGCAAATTTCTCTATCAGTTCAGTGTGATACTTTCATCTATCAAAAAGCCAAGTTATAAATCTATTAAGAGACAAATAGCTTTATAATATATATAAACATTTTAATCCCACGCGATACTCCCGTATCCGAGTTTAGGACGATGTTGTCATATAGGTTCTTCCCAGTTAAGGCCTTTAATGTTTAGTTTATGAAGACAAAATTGGCCTCGGTTGACTTTACCACTGACCACATAATGATGTTAGACCTACGCTATAATCTGGACTCATGAGAGTGTGGGGTGCGTGAAGTGCATGAAATGGGGCGTGGTAGTGTCACGGAGAAGAGGGGGGAAAGCACTACGACCTCGTTTGCCAACTATGCTCTATGTAACTCTATTGTCTTCTAGTAGCTTAACTTTTACTGCCAAAAGTGAGGTCAACGTTAAAGGTTGACTTTCTTCTCTTTGCTTCCGGTTTCACCTGAGAACGTCGGCATCTAAATGGGCCACTGTATTGAGGTTTATAAAGTAAAGAATGAAACTAGAATCGCTTTTATATTTTAATTCTTCTCATACTTCCTATATGATATATCTGTTTTAACTACAATGTACTCTTACAATGCTTTTTTTTTTATCTACATTATGATTAATCTGGTTCTAAATAAATATAGCCTATCCTTTTCAGGAATTTTCTAGATTTTTACATTGATTCAAACTCTTTAAGAATATTACTGGATTTCTACAATGATTACATAGATTCTTTTTCAAATACTGGCAGTCATTATAGAAAACTGGAAACCTTGTTATAAATCTTAGCTTTATTAAAAAAAGATACTAATTTCCTATAGTGACTACCAACTTTTGTAGTTAGGTTCTTAGATTTCTATGCCTATTCTTTCCTTTCTAACAAAGTTCCTAGTTTTCTATGGTGATTCCTAACTATGTAAGAAGTTTTCTAGTGTTTGCCAGTTTTATAACAAGACTGTAGATTCGTAGGATGATTCCTAACTTTATAACAGAGTAATTTGATAGAATTTCTCCTTGAGAAGAGATCCTCCTTCGGTATCTCTCGCGTGCATCGTAATGAAGGCCTATATAAATGGTGCACGACTTCCTTGTTTGCTTTCTATCTATTTATCTGATTTTATAATGAATTCTGTGTTAGGCTAATTATGTGGTTTATAACTTACCGTCAATGACTTTTTTTATACAAAGATAAAACGAAAAAATTATACTCTACTTTTAAATAATGGTAATTTATAATTCATCACGTATAACCCGCATCAGTTTGCTATCTTAAAAAAAAAAAGAAAGAGGGGTAGAGAAATAGTAAAAGTTTCGAATATTATCACGACTTCAACTATAAATAAAGTTATTTTTAATATAAGTTTTTAGTAAATTGCACTAAAATATTTGTTAAAAATCTTCATAAGAATTGCAATTTTTAGCTTGAAATTCGGTTTGACCTAGTTTAATCATGTCAGAGATTGACTCTAATCTAAGATCGTAGATTTTTCTCTATTCAACTCTTCATCAAAATGTGACTTTTGTACGCCGAAAGACAAATTTCAGTTGAACATTAAGACAAGGTAATCTACAGAAGACGTGTCCTTGCCCTGATTTCATAACAACGGGGTATTTCCTCGACATTTAAATAGAGAGAGAGAGAAAAAAAAACGCGATAAACTATCAAAATTTAACATCAAAAAATAGTTTAAAAACGATTGAAATATCATTAAAATATTTATTAATTTAATTAAAAATTGATATTTTTATTCATAAAATTGTCTTAAAAATATTATACAAATTACGTCTTAGATGTATTTAAAATGTTTGACTACATTCTACCGAGGAAGAATTCTAAAGTTAAAGAAAAATGGCTGAGAGGTGATCGTGACTATAATCACGTGACAAACCAGATAGTCACACGCTGTACAATCTGCTTTATTACTTTGTCCTTTAGGAAATAAAGCACGTATGAATCAAAAAATAAAAAAATAAAAATAAATAAACCAGGAAATATCAAGAAAAAAAGAAGTTTTACTGATGTAACCATGCAGGTTGTTTTAAAATTGATGTGCAAAATTGTATGATAAATCGATCTTAAATCGTCGATTATATAAAATTATCGTTTATATATTTTTTTATGTAAAAAAAAAAAATAGAAAATAAAAGATTATGGAGCACATTTTTATAATTTTTAACTCGAAAATAAAATTGAAATTTTTGTGTTTTAATTACATTTAAAATTAACAATTTAATTTATAAAATATTATTAATAATTTGGGCATTCTTATTCAAAGATTCTGTTAAGATTACCTTTAAAATAGATGTTAATAAACTATTTAATATTTTAAAATTAATTTTTATTTCATAATTTTGTGGGCTTAATTTAAATATTAAATCAATTCATTGTAATATTAAATTGAAGTTTAACTAGAATAGGATATGTCAGAGAAAGATGGCTCAATATTTTCACATTAGAAGTCTTTTAAGTTCATTATTTTATGATGATTTTGAAAGATTGCATATCATAATTTTGTAAAATGTTTTCATATAAAAGGGGAATTCTTTATAATTTGAAGGAATGCACGTTGCAATTCTCCAAATTGTCTTCATCAAATACGGGATGATTGCATTATATTTTATACGTCAAATTATTCTATGCGAAAAATTTGAAAACTTGCATATTGCAGTCCTTCAAATACTTTCGCAAAATAGAGATGATTGCATATTGCAACATCATTTAAAAATAATTTAAATCCTATTTTCATAACGAACATTTCGTTTACAAGTTCAAAAACAAGCATACTTTGTTTACTAAATGCGAAATTTTATTTTATATTTTATAAATATATCAAATAGAGAGTTTAAAAAATGTACCGTTTAATCTATTAAAATATCACGTAGAAAATTTAAAAACCTTTCATTAAAATAAGGATAGTGAAAGCCCCATCAACAAGTCGATATAAAGGTGAAGATAATAGGTAAGTAGAGCTAACCCATGTTGCATAAGTGACCCAGGGCATGACCACACGCTGTCATTATTCAGTAGCGCAAAGGGGAAGGTTAGATTTATTCCTTAATTAATAATCAACCGAACCATACAATTACCTTCCCGCTAATATCCCAGGGGCTGTCAATCTGTTGCCCCGTATAGTTTACTCGTTATATAGATCTGGATCTACTGCATACGCTAGGCACTGTACTGTACAGTACATCTTAAATCTGTTGAAAAATCTAGAAAGTAACCTTTTCTTTTTATTCTAGCTATATTCTCTGAGCCTAAGATTAAATTAGAATATAACTTATTTTTTTTTGTTACTAATGTCAGAATATAAACTTACAATTTATGCAAGCTGTATTGACATATCTCATCGATATGGCACCAAGATATCATGGATTATGGCATAATGATCGCGTGGTTACTCATCGACTTAGTGCTATGATATCCCAGATTGTGATACTATGTTCAAGTGGTTACTCATCGGAATGGCACTATACTACTATAATATGGTCTTACGATATCATACAGCTAAACCGATAAAGAACAGTAGTATCTACCAATATGACATGATCTAATCAATTATGGCACGGAGCCTTTCAGCTATGGCTGTAAGAGAACTACATCAGTATAATATAAAAGATAATGGCACTATGAGAATTGCCAATTTTGGCATTAAGTCCTTATCAATTAGGTACAAAATTCTCATAAATTATTGTTTAGACTACAACATTACAAACCACGACATTATGATACGAAAAACAACGAGATTCATCAATTAGCATTACAAAATAGCAATATTATATCATAGACCATAATATTATATTAAGAACGATGATGATATGACACTAAGAATTCATCAATTACGGCATCAAAATAACACAAAATATAACACTACCTTGATACTATGATTTTGTAGAATACGGCACTAAAAGATGACATTAAATGCTTCAATAATTGAAAATGAGAAGATTTATATAAATGTAGTTTTTGTATAAAGTACTGTTTTGTTTCATAAGCAAGTAAGAACGAAGATCGGTAAACACGTCGTTGGACAATCTGTTGTGGTGCATCAAAGCGTGAATCGATGTCGATCTGTTGATTGTCAATTATTCAAAAGCGTAGCACAATAATCCTCGGCGACGATTGAAGAAATACAAAAAAATAAAAATAAAAATAAAAAAAAACAAGAACACCGATCTATAAAGACTTATTTTGTTGTTTTTCTTTTACAAGATGATAGAAAACCCGTTCAATATTTAATAGAATTTGAAATTAGTTTTTGCTGAGTTTCTATAGTTAATTTTTGGTTAAACAAACACCCCAACGAAAATAAAATGCTTTACGATTTCCAATTACTGTTGTGTCTTCGTTGCTTATATAGACCCTCTCTTTTTATTATTATTTTTTTTCTTCTTATATTATTAATAATTCAAAAGACGTAGAAGAAAATTTTTAAATATTTCAAAAATCATTTTTATATCCCCTTAAACAAGATTGGAATTAAATAATATCGAATTTCTTGTTGAGGTAATCTAAAGAAATATTGAATTATTTACAAAATTTATATACGATTCGTCTCGTTTTCTATTATTTTCCCTCTAATGTTAAAAACATTGGTTATATTTTAAAAACTAAGAAGAAAAAAAAAGAAAACAAGAAAGAGATCCTTCTTACCTTGGCTGTGCCTGCTGTTCAAATAATCATCTTTGCAAATGAACCTATTCTCGTCTAGTACATAAAGTTCTTCTCCCGTAGACAGTTGTTTCCGACATACGAGACATGTGAAACATTTTAGATGAAATACTTTACTTCTAGCCCTCCTAACTAGATCGGTGGGTGATATACCCTGAGCACATCCTGCACACTTTGTACCGTATCTCCTGCAATATATAAAAATAACATTTTGATATTAATATCTCATCTTCTTCCGTAATTTCTCTACGATACACAGAGCATTTAAGATGAAAACTTAAGAAAATATCTTAATTAAACTGTTATAATAGTTTTTACCACTATTAAAAATAGTAATTTTAAGTCAAAGAAAATTATGCAAAGCGGAAAAATAACTAAATTTCGGGGGTTATTTTGCATATTTCAACACTTCTTATTCTATTAAGTAAAGCAATGATTGCATTTTAAGTTTAAATTTAACTTTTTCTTTTCACTAATTTAAACATCCCTCTTTGGCATCTCTCCTGAAATTATTCAACTTAAGACACTTATTTTTAAAATATAAATTAAATAATTATAATTATAAATATGTAAGCTTCTATATTAACTAATTCATATCTTGTTTTTAAGATTTATAAATTTATATTGAAAAAAAAATTACTAAATTTAGAGTACGTAATTAGTAATTTAATAATCTATAAATTATGAAGAGTGCTAGACTACTGTTTTATTATTAATTAATAATTTACATCCAAAAATATAGTTAGACAATTATATTTAAGTTTATAAATTCTAGAAAAAAGTTGAAGAATGTCTGAAATTAAATATTGTTTAACAATATTGCCTTGAGGCTATTTACAAAATATATTTTAGTGAAACGTTAGCAAAATTTCTATAGATAATGATAAAACTTTAAGATAAACTTTTATAAGCTGACAATTAAAATAAATCTAGTAAAGATAATTAAAAAATTAATATTATTTTTATTATAAACAATATTTTATTCAGTAAATTAATACATTAAAGGTAGAATAAAGGTAAAATACAGTACATATAAAAGGTAGAATATTTATTAATTTTTATTAAAAAATTCGCATTGCTTAGAGTAGGAAATGTTTAAAATATGTTTATTTTAATGCTTTTAAAATATTTTAAGTAATAAAACTTAAAAAACTTCAGAGAAAAATAAAATAATACTATTTAAAGTTTGAATTACTAAATATAAACCATGCTTATGAATCAGTTGAAATTATAATAAAAATTTATATATTTCAACAAGAGCCTATTTATAGTTTAATTTAACTTATTTACTGTCAGAAAATTACAAATCTGTTTCTTTCAGTCGAGTCTAGACATAATAAATTTATAATTTCTAAAATTTGTTGTACAAGTTTTGATATGCAAATCTGTTTTAAAACGGAAGCTATTTTAAAAAGTTCAAAAATATTTGCATATCAAAACCATGATTTAAAACTATATAACAAACATTAAAATTATAATCTGTACGGCATTCAAAAGTCAAATTTTCTTAATTTAAACAAACTGACGTTTAAAAACTTTATTATTTCGTCATTTAGAAGTATTTATATAAGCCTCTTAACTAGAATATAAACGTTTTCTTGTAAAGTAAATCGTGACAATATCTTGTTGCTGTAAAATTCGACCCATCTTTTCCATTCTGTTCTGACTTTATTATCGTTTACAGCACGTAAAAGAGCAACATTAGAAGATATATTCGACGTCGACATCGAAGAAGCCTCGGGGCTTTATTTTTTTTTTCTTTACTAAAGAATGACAAACTGCTCGAGATGTCAAGTAATTGCTAGCTAAGGTGGAAGAGTAAAACTCGATAAGAATGGTATCCTTATTGAAAAAAAAAAATGGCAAAAAAATCACTGTTGTGCATAAATCTCAAATATTTGAGTTTATTGGATGTAGAAAGATGTAAAGAACATGGTTTAATTATGTCGATTTTTGGCATGTTTAGAAAAGGAGGGAGATCATGAAGAGCGTGACGTGTATGAAAATGCTACGGGGAGAAGGCGTAGTCCGAATCTGAAGCACGAACCACCCCTATAAACAGCATGTATAAGGGGGGTAAAAAGGAGGAAAAGTTATGGAGGAAAGGATAATAAAACTCGGGCAGTTTGGAAAACAATGAGTCGTGCGTGCTATCTCGTTGTTCCATCTGGACATTACACGGCGTTTAGAGCTGTAGTGTCTTCGCTGCTACTCGTTCGTGATGTTGCACGAGTCCATACTGTTGTTACTATCATTAGGAACGTTTGGTCTTTTCCTGTTTGGATTGTTTGCTACTGGGTTGTAGGCTTGACGTTAGTAGGAAATGTTCGTTTTTACATCTTGTAAGGATGGTACTCTGTGAAATATTCTTACGAAATGATTGTATAGATGTGATGCCTCATTTTTTTTATCTATTAGGTGATAAATAATAATTCTCTTACCATAAATTGTACCTGGTGAAAGCGTTTACGCCTACAAATAGGTCTATTTACGAGGAAGAAATGATGTTGTCAATTACTAGAAAAAATAGGGGCACGCCAAATTATAGTTATAACAATAGCTCTAGACGCGAATAAAGTTGCGAGTTAAATTTGGATTCCTCTTTACCTCAGATCCTGTGCAGAAAGTTGTTTTATATAAGCAAAAAAACAATAGTTTTTCTTATATGTAAGTACACTATTATGCATAATAAATAGTAGATATACCTGTTTGAAGCTCAGTTTATAACTTTAAAGGTTACTAAATGATACGAAGCGAATTACAATAAAAAATTCATGGAGTAAGTGGTTTGAATTGTTAAGATAGGATAGGTGTGGTCCATACTTTAGTGCTTAGAGAAGTTAAATCCGAAGTTCGTTTTCTACCTAAAAGAGTTTTCCATTAATACAACCTGATTTTAAATTCTTTAAGTGATTTATACATTACTATAACCTTCTATTTGCATTATTCAAAAAACAAAAAAAAAATGTATAGCAAAATGTTGCTATACAAATAAACATTATAAGGCTTTAAACAAGACTACTTTTTTTAATATATTAAAATAAAGTCTGAGATATCGCTAACTTAAGAACGATTATTTAAGAAAAAGAATATATAAGTTAACATATCCCCGCCTATTTCAATTTCTAAACCAATCATTGTTCAGATAATCATATTTCAAATTGATAATCTTCAAAATTTTTATGTTTGATATCTTACAATTATCGCAGAGGACGATTTATGTTCATTATAACTTTTTTAAACTGGATTTTGTTTTCTCATTTTCTATCACGTCATTGTAATTATTTTCAATTTAACCAATATAAAAACTACATATAAATCGAAACTAATTTAGATTTATCCGAGAAAAATATTTTTAAAATTTAATTTTTTAAATAAAACTCGCTACAGTTAATAAGAAAAAAACTTAATGAATAAAACTCTTATCGTAAAATTTTCTTCGAGCTTTTTCTTTTAATTAAACTGTATAAAAGTTTATAAATCATCTAATTAATCTATAATATACTCTTCTTTTTTTTCTAAGCTTAAAATTTACTAAACAAAACTTAAAAGAACATATCCTAAACAGTTTATAATCTATAGGATCTAGAATTTTAATAAATTAATCCTTTCTTAAGTGAATTCCTCTATCTAAATTGAAACAAACGACGCTTAACTGATTAAGAAATTTTTTTTAAAAAAAAGAAAAGGGGATGGGGATTAATTATAGGGGGAAACAAAGTTACAAGGACACGTTCTAAATTTGGAGAATCGGTTACGTGGAGTCAAACAGACCAAGCGAGACCTTTTCACTGCGATTCAGTCCATTACAGGCTAATGGATGTTACCTCGACGACAACATCACACTTAGTGGCTTCATTGGCTTGGATACGCTTGAATACACAAAGCATGAGAGGAGGTAAGTGACCACCCACGTGACACCGAAACGCCTTCCTGAATTATGTTAAACGAGTGACACGAGTTGTACATTCTGTTTTAATCACAAGAAAACTACCTTCCTACTCTTTTACTCGTTGGCGTTTGATTTAATAAGTACCTTTCGATAGGTTATAAATCCAAAAATTATAGTCGTACCAACCAATAATTTTAAGCCCCTAAAAAAAAACTGTTGCTTCCTCATCTCGTGTTAATGGCTAATTTCAAATTCATAACGTGGGAGAGATTTTTAATATCCATCTTAACACTAAAATTTATTTATTTATTTATTTATTTTTGGCAGTTGGAAATAATGATCTAGATCACGTGAACGTAACGGTTGAGGGAAGTTATACTTGTCACGTGATTTTATGAGGAATTTATAAATTGGCGTGTGACGTAACAGTCAGTTAGCCTTCTTTACAGAGTTCTCATAGGCTACTTACTACATTCACGTGATCTAGTTTAAAATTAGTTACGAAAATGTTAACCAGTACCAACAAGACTTTCAACAAGAGCTACAAATCTGAACACACATCAATCGCAATTTACAATTAAAAATAAAAATAATTTATAAAAGTAACGAGTTTAAATTTAAAAAAAAAAAATACACAAAAATATTTTTTAAAAATGAGTTGAAATTTTCGAAGAGAAATAGCAATTTTATGGGGAGAAAGAAAGAAAGAAAGAGAGAGAGGGAATGTTTGTATGTTCGGCTATCAAATTCCCGTCGACGAGCACGTGCTCCTTTTAATCACGCCCTCTCTTTTCTTGTGGGAGATGGCTCTCATGTGACCGCCTGACGTCATAGGCGGTAGGTGGTTCTCCCATAATTGACGGGCCTCAGTTCGTAATACGTCAGTCGATGTTTATACTTTCATGTGCAGCTGTTGATGTCTCATTCATCTGCTGTTTTGAATATGTTAGTTTGTCGGCATCTTTAATCCATTTTAAATCTTTAAGCTTTCATTCAGATGTCGAGCGTGTGTCACGATTGCACATTTGGAGCAATGTCCCCCCCTTTTACTTTTAATCAAAATCTTCAGAAGGACCGTTACAAATCTCTGCAATTTAATTTATTACATGTTTCAAAAATTATAGAATTTACTCTCTTCTCTATCTCTTTAACTACATTTATTAGTCAATGATGATTAAGAAAGAAATCTTTAAAATTGAATATATTTATAGGAATTCGTAGTTCTATTAAAATTTTAATGCAATTTATCGATATTTTACATTTAATAGATTAATTTTACTCTGATTTTCTTACTGC